TAACAACAAAATCACTTATATTTCATATCACTTCACAAATGTTAGACAACCCAGGAAAGAACAGTCTCTTTCTCTTTAGTACATGAGACAGTTTTTGGTGCAATCAGGGATGCTAAACTCTTACATATGGCCTGCTAATTTCACCTTGAAAATTGTTAAAACTGCACACTCTAAAATGGATATTACCATGGAGGGGAGGTAACATGGGGGGGGGGGGGGGGAGATAATGGGGGGGGGGGGGGGGTGAGAATAAATGCCCAGCAACGCCCATCAGCTCCTTTTTGTACTTACTGCATCTTTTAAAAATGATTTTTTTCAGACTACTAAATTCCCCATGAAACATTTTGGATATTTTAATACCAGCAACTGAATTTCAAATTCCTAGGTACTACAAAATTTGTCCCTGTTATTACATGTTGCAGTATAATTTCTGACACAAATTATTTATTCCTTTAATATTTTGCTATTATTATTTTATTAAAATGCCCAATGTTTTTAAAGGCAATATTACAGAAACACAATTCAAAGTATGTTGGCTTATTTTTACTAATCAGTAACATCCAAATGCTTAATATCATCAAGGGGCCACATAACTGAATAGGGAGTATACATAACAAAAAAAATACTGCTCTGGAGTTATAAGTTTCACTTATTTTGAAAATGCTAGTAACAGTGTTCTTGATTAGAAATGGAAATACTGTTTAACTCACACATTAGGGATCGGCTATTAAATTTACTATTCATTACTCAACCACTTAACATATTATCATGTTTACTTATTAATACCTGTAAAGAGAGAATTATTTTCTTAGAGCAATAAGTAGGACACCTGCATTCACAGTATAAACTCGTGCTTACCACAATATACTAAAACGTAATCAACTCAAACTTTAAGTGTTAATGACCAGGTGGTAGGTAATTTTGCGTCTGAGTCACTGCCAATCTGCTATGCAATACTTTAAGAGTTCATGATCAGTATATGCCTGTATTTCCCAAGAGTCTTTAAAATTTAAATTCCCCTGCAGCCTTTTAAGAAAGATCATTTCTCGTATCCTAAGAAAAGCATTTTCCCAGGAGCACAAGTCAAAGAGCAAAGTAAAATTGACTAAATAATTGGTCTGTTTCTTCTTAGAAAAGCTTTCCACAGGCACACATTGCAGGAGAAAAATAACTCTTTTTCCAGAGTCAATTGCTTTCAGACTAGAAAGTAAAATAAAGAAAGCTTATTGGGTGAGAGCCCTTATTATAAATAAAAATGTTAAAGCGCTAGGCTCACAAACTACCTTAATCATACATAAATCTGTAAAAAAAGAGAGAAAAATCCATGTACCATACCTGTCACTCAGTTTTAACAGATATTAGCATATTTTAATATTTGCTTCAGTTCTTTAAAATAGAAGAAAAACTTCTAGAGAGCTGAAGGAGCCTCATCCAAACCTTTCTTCACCAGAGTTAATATGTCTTATTTCTGTATGTTCTTATATTTTATGTACTTTCATTAGGTACATGTGTATCAATAAATAATGTGTCATGTATTACTTTAAAGCTCTATATAAATACATCACACTGTATATATCCTTTGCCAACTTGCTTTTTTCCACTCAATATTATGTACATGAGATGTATCCATGTTGATGAACACAGATCTAGTTCATTCATTTTTACTAGGGGATAGTATTCCATTGTATAAATAAACCATAGTTTATACATTTCCCTACTGAAGTACAGCTGAATTGTTCTACTTTATTGCCATTTTAAGAGCTGCTATAATCATCTTTGCTACATGTTTATTTGGGCAATTGCCCCAAGTTTAGTTATGTTTTGGCTCAATCAGGTTGAGGAAGGAAAGAACCCTAGAATGAAAGCTCACCCAGATGCCAATGTTAGGTCTAACTGTTACCAGAGAAGTTAGTGGCTCCAATTTCCCCATCACTGGGGAGAGTGGGCTGGCTCTTGCAATATATCTGTAGAAAAAGACGTTTCTAAGACTCGCCTGGGAGGACGAATGGCTTTTATTTGCCTGGAATTATGTTTCTCGGGTTGCAAAGGCCCATGTCCCTTAACCCAGTCCTGAAACAGGTGCAGCTGGAGGTCCAGTAGTGTCACATGGACGAATGCTGGAGAGCAACCCCTACCACGGGAGAGCCAGGAGCCTAGCACAGGAGAGAGAGAACCAAGAGCCAAGAGAGAATTCCCTTTGTTCAGAAGTTTAAATATTCAGGTTTCACGGCCCCCCGCCTTGCAGGGGCCACACCTATTCTGGCCAATTACCTGTTCCCAGGTATGACTGACAGACAGGTAAGCACCTTCCCATGTCACTCAGACCTTATTGGGCACGTATCTAAACTGCCTTTGTCCAATCCCTTCCCCCATCAATCAAGACATAGAGTGTTAAATTATCAAAGCTGTATAAATGGCATGTCTCTATTATCTGGTCTTCCCTTTACTCCTTCCTTTCCTGTTAAATAATAACCAGGTTATTATAACCATATCATAACCACTACCTTCCTAATATAGAGGTCATGTGAACTCTATGATGATTCAGAAAAAAAAATGAACAATATGATCATTAAGGGAAACATGAGATGATCAATTTGTGGAATTAATGAGACTAAAGCTGATCTTCTCTCTAAGCATAATTCACAAACAGCCCCATTGGAGGTGAGAGAATTATCCTTTCTTTTTCCACAAAAGAACTCTATAATAAAAAATGAACTCTAGCCCTGGCTGTCATGGCTCACCTGGTCGGAGCATCATCCCATACACCAAAAGGTTGCAGGCAGGTTCAACCCCCAGTCAGGGCGCATTGAAGTTTTCTCTCTCTCTCTTTCTCTCCCTTCCTCTCTCTCTAAAAATCAATAAACATATCCTAGGGTGAGGATTAAAAACAAACAAACACAAAACAATGTAAAGACACCACTATTACATATATAGAAACAGGTGATGAGGATAGGAAAATAAATGCAATACTAAACAGCTCCAAATCATAGTTTATTGCTACTTTATTTGTGGTTACCATTCATTTTCTTTTTAAAAAAAATATATTTTACTGATTTTTTACAGAGAGGAAGGGAGAGGGATAGTTAGAAACATCGATCAGCTGCCTCCTGCACGCCCCCTACTGGGGATGTGCCCGCAACCAAGGTACATGCCCTTGACCAGAATTGAACCTGGGACCCTTCAGTCTGCAGGCCGACGCTCTATCTACTGAGCCAAACCGGTTAGGGCGTTACCATTCATTTTCTTAAGGACTGATACCCTATAAAATCTACTACTCTCTTATTACTGATGACTGAATTGTTTGATCATCAATAAAGAAGAGTTAAAAGAAAAAAATGTTTTAAAAAATCTCCATACCAGAAAAATCTGTATCCCTAATACAGCTGGAATATGTGGCAGATTTAACCCCATACAGTTATAAAAACCACTAAATGATTTAGAAGTCATTAAAATCCTCACAGCATTCCTGAGTGTCTGAGAGAGGGACACGACCTCACACTACTACATCAAAGCAGGCCTTTCACACCAGCTCAAACCCACCACTCTTACATCCCTTCCTATTTTTTAACTCACACCTTACATAGTCTCACATTCATACACAATTATAGAAGGCATTTACAAGCCGGTCATATTCTTTGGAAATAATCTTAAAATGGACCCAGCAATATTACATTACACCTGTGTCTTTTCATGTAAAGACAGACAATTAATAGTAATCTTTCCAAACAACCACACAAAAACTAAAATCAGGTATCAGGAGTGTTCTTACTAGTAATAAACCCGTTGCTTCTTTAACAGTCAAACTGTTCAAAGTGTTTAAATTCACAATCTAAGTTGTGAAAGGTTGAGCTCTGGAGAAAAGGGAGTCCAGTTAACATTGCTTAAATCTTTTTTTTTTTAAAGGCTTATATAATGCCACTCGAGTCCCTCCCGCCCCCCAAAAAAAGCCTGTTTAGTACTTTACTTTCTTCTTCATTATCTTTTTAAATGTTAATATTGTGAAACAGCTTTGAACTTTTTTGCTACAGTTATAAGCCTTGAATCTGTCAACAGTAATCACAGTTTGAGAACTAAGTATTAAATTTAAACTAGGTATAGATTCCATCAGCATCTTTAGATGCCCTTATAGATTCCAAAGTTACTACAGACAATCCTGAAATCATATCTTCTCTAAGTCCATGTATCATAAAATTATCTGGAAACTATCCCTTGATATTTGAAAGTGAATTATAGTTCTTTCCTAAAAATATTTAGTTCTCTTTCCCACCATTTAGTTAAAAAAATGTCAGTTTGGGTCATGATATAGTGGAAAGAAGAAATTATTAGTTATAAAAATAGCTAGTATGTATTGAATATCTACCAGGTGCCAGGCACTGTAATGAATGATACATGAACCATCAAATGTAACGATACTACTCCAAGGAAGGTACTCTGACCTCCAACTGCAAGATAAAGAAAATGAGGCAGGAAAGTTAAGTAACTTTCCCAATGTAAGCGGATGTATATCCAGATCCAAATCCTAGGATCTCAACCACTCGGCTTTTGCTAATAAGATTGAAATATTGCCATTTACTGCAAAAGCAAAATTTTCACTGCTTTTAAATTCTTGAAGTATTTCATTAACCCAGAGGTGGTCACTCCAAACCATTCATAGCGATGATAAACTGAAAAGGAATACTGGGCCAATAAGTTTGCTGAATGTTTGTTTATACCCGTTCATCATCATAAACACACAACCGAAAGCCTTTTCAAGCACAGCCACAGCCGCCCACACATCGACAGGGCGACAGGCGAAGGATATGCACTGGAGCTCTTCCCGGATGCCGAACGGAAACACAGTCCCTGGGACGGGAGGGTGCGCTTCCCCGTCCCTCGGCACCGAAGGCCTCCCTCCCGCGCGGAAGTCAGCACCGCTCT